AGTGTTGTTCACTTAAGTTGTCTCCTAATTCTTTTCTTGTTGAATCCCCTTCTGGGGAGGCAAAGAGGAGGGGAAATGTTTCCGTGTTTTCTTTGATCTGGATGTTATTTCCAAAAAACTTAAGGCTGTGTTACTGTACAGTGCTTACTGTCTTGTGTAACATTGCTAATGTGCTTATAAGTGCAAAACGGTGGTCTTGTTCCAACAAATCCACAACTCAGAACTCAGTGTTAATTTATTTTTTGTTCACATAAACTATTTTAAGACATTGTATGGGAAGTTTTTAATTCACACAGATGAGTTAATATGCTGAAAAAGTAAAGTGGGTAACTGCAAAAATGAGAGTGTGATGTGAGATACATACTTTATATGTTGTCTAAGTTAAGAATCAAGTTTTATGTCCGTGTTCTGGAGGCCTGTACAGCTTTTCTCAGAGTTCCTTGGATTGTAAAAAAAAAAGTATATATATTTCAGCTCATACCAGTGGGGGCTGTATCCTTGCCAAATTTGCAGTTTTAAACCAAGGAAAACCAGGAAGTCTCAGTAAGAGAAGGTTTTTCCATTTAAGTGCTACTTAACCTGTAGCAGGTTAACCTGTACAGGACATGCTGTGAGAATGCCATTTGGAGGGTGAGATGTCTTATTTAATCATTATCTATGAGGATGGATTAATAATGACTGGGATTTATGTGTCTTGAGTACATCTATCCTCACCCACTCACTAACATCTGCTCTTGAAGATGAAGCTGACCTTTATAAAGAACTCTAAAAAGCTGTTGTGCATCTTTCTCCACCCTTTCCTTGCCGCCCTGTGTAGCAGCTTTCTCCTTAACATGATTGCTTGCACTGATGGCGGTCTTACTTTTCACTTTAAATCTTATTTTGTTTATTAAACTTTATTTTTGTGTAACCTTCATTTAAAAGGGTGAGCAGGAGCTACCTCAGGGCTTTCTCCTTCCATCAAGACAGAATTGCTAAAGAAACTGATGTCAAACCAAACATCTCAATAATCCGTCAGCTTCTGGGACTGACTTTTTCCATGCCCCTCCTGAAGCATTCTGGCTTGCTGGCTTTAGCTTGCTCTCTCCTTGAGAATCTTGCTTGCTTGATCCCTTCTGGCTCTCCTCCCTGCAACCTGATGCATGTAGGTGTTTCTGCTGTGGGGTAGCCAAAGTTTAATTTCTGTTCATGCACTAATTGGAAAGGATCATGTCATAGGAAGGTCAAGTGTAATGTGCAGGTGATACAGAGAGGAGACAAAGGTACTGCTGTGTGACTACACAATAGGTCGGGAGATGATTAGGAGTGCTAAACTGTCTTTGTAATGAGCTCGGAGGGAATTTATGTTCCTGCAGATAATGCTTTTTGTGTTAGCTGAAAGATTTGTCAACATACTGGAGCTTGAAAACAAGCATTAAGGAGATTTCATCCTGTCACTGTCATAATAAAAAA